CCCTGCTTGAGCAGCGGGGCTGGGCAAGGTGACCTTCAGAGATCCTCTCCCGACTCAGTCACTCTCTCATTCTGTGCAGTGATTGTTTTAGGGGAAATCATTCGCTAGACTGTGATGTTGTAGGTAGTGCTAGAAACTTGCACTGAGGTACAGGGCCTGAGCAGTTATAGAGCTCTTCTCTGGCAGTGCTGCTCTATGCCTTTTAAAATGTGCCCTGGCTGCAAGCTTAGGTTGGGCACCACTGCCTTCGAGTCTTTCTGATGGCAAATTTAGGTCAAGTGTTGACAGGCAGAACATCAGACAAGTTTTTACTTGTGTTGTGCAGCAGGAGAGCACTTGCGGGAGGAGGAGTAGATCTGGACTCTTCTCCAGTCATCACAACTGTCCTAGTCCTCCCATGTGGAGCAGCGGCCATCCTGCTGCTGCTGACTCTGGAGCAGTAGATGTGGTATCCTTTCTATACATCTGGCATGGTATCTTGTATCTTGCTGTGTCTCTGTTGTGCTGAGAGCTCTGGTAGAGACATGGTGCAGTTTTTTGACTATGGACTGCCTGAGGTGCTCTGAGCGGTAGGGAGCATCCTGCCTGGCCTACGTCGGTACAAGCAAGCAGCAGAAAGGCTGTCGGAGAGCTCTGCTGCAGACAGGTCGTGCTGCTGTGTTCCTGTGCCATTAAATAATTTCTGTGAGTTTGGACGCTTGGGATTCCTGACTGTGGTGGATTTTTGTTTGTCTTCTAAGCTAGTGAGACCTCTGCTTCTTTTATTAGCCCTCCTAGATGTGTGCTGCAGAAACAGGCTTTGTGGGGGGTGTGCTCTGGAAGCCAGTCTTGAACATGTGATTTGAGGAGGAATGTTCTTCAGCAAATGTCAGAGAGCCGCTGGGAGTGCCCAGTGGTGTGTATGGCTGGAGTGCAGCTGATGGTTCTTTTCTTCTTTTTGTCCACAGGTCATACCAGCAGGTGGTCATAGCAGAGCTGACACCCAGGGGCTCTTGGACACCACTGAGTGCTTTGGAGCCTTGTGCCAGCTCGATGTGTACGGGACATGAGTGGACCTGGACAAGGCTGGAGATGAAATATTTGTAAGCACTTTGGCATTTGCCATGCACCCAACAGGGTCAGTGGACAGTAGCTTCTCCCGCTCTGGTGTGCAGACCCTCTCCCGGAGCCACTGTCGCAATATCAAACAGAAGATCTCCCAGTGGGAGGGGAGGACACGAGGGTGCTCCAGCAAGGAGAAAGAGCAGCTGAAGGACTTCAGAGTAAAGTATGATCCTAGGGTGAAGCCAGAACATACAGAGAAAGGCAGAAGGACTAGGTCCAAAGATCCAAAGAGCCTGGGTTTGGACTTCAGGGAAGATGCTCAAAGCTGCTTGCAGACTGATGACTGTGGTGACCTCAAGCCCCGTGCATGCAGCCTAGCTCCCCCAGCCAAGGAGAAAGGAGAGTGGCAAGCAGGCTTCCTGGACCCAGGGACAGCACCACCCCCCAGGAAGTTCTATACCTCACAAGATCTGTGGAGGAGAGTAGATCCCCCTCTGCCTAGTAAAGCCCTACCGGTTCCCTTGGACCTTCAGAAGAAGCAAGGGAGCTGTGAGTCCACGGAAAAAGAACTTAAAATCAAAGAAGTGAACTCTCTCTGCAGGGCAGAGAGGAGCTTGAGAAACATTTACTCTGAGGCTGAGAGGCAAGAGGAGAAGCCAGCTGCTGTCCCACCGCTCAAGCCCCGTCGGACTTTCCGCTATCTTGCAGAAAAGGGTGCCGGTAGCTCTAGTGATGCCAGTGCTACCAGAGAAGCTGCCCTGCAAAGGCAGTGTGGAGGAGACTTGGTGTCAGTCTCCAAGAATCCTGAGAAGACAATAACTGGCAGGAGGATCAGAGGCAGAACCCAGAGGTACATCAGTTCATCTCACATGTCTGAAACATGTTTCCTTAAATGAGCTTTGAGATGGGTTTAAACAGCTTGCTTGCCATTATATCCTTGCGAAGGTTCTTGTACTAATGATGCCTCCGCTGATAGGGAGAGAATATTTCTGAATGAAAGCATCCCATTTCCAGCATTGCATACACATTGCTTTTGTTGCTGATAAGCTTGCAAAGGAGGCTAAAATCTCCAAACAGATGTCAGTCCCATGCCTTAAAAGAATATTGAGTGACAATATGCTGGCCCCAGGAGGGGTGCTGCCTGCTTCTTGCCCTGAGCTTGTTCTCAACTGCAATTTCTGGATTATAGAATAGCTTTTTCTTGGGGCAGTACGGCTGCTGAATGTTCCGACTTTCCTGTGAATGAAAGATTGTCTTGTTGCTTGAAGTTAGAGGCTGTGAGCTGTGGGTACTCGTGTTGCAGTAGGTTATCTAGTCCTCTCTCTTTCGTGTACATAGGTGCCTGCTGTGGAGCAGAAAACCCCCCCTGAGCTAGTTTAATGCCAGTTCTACTTACAGATGAGTTGCCTAGGGCAGCTATGTGAAAGAGTAGCATGCACATTATAGGTGGAGGTGTGGCTAGGTCTCTTGAAATCTTCTTTCACCACCAGCTCTTTTGTGACCTCTGTGCCATAATGTTGAAACGGAGGTGAAGTGTATGAAAATGCAAAATCATAAATGTGGTAATACCCTTAGCATGAGCAGTAGGAGAGGTCCAGTAGAAGGTGGTGCCCTAATTCTGAGTAGGGCTGCAAGTGCCAAAACCTTTTCTGTCTCTCACCCCACCAGTGGGAGGACTTGGGAGGGGACACAGCTGGGACAGGTGACCTCAACTGACTAAAAGGATATTCCATACTGTATGACATCATACTCAGCAATAAAAATTGGGGGAAGAAGGAAGAAAGAGGGACATTTGGAAGTATGGTGTTTGTCTTCCCATTTCATGTGATGGAGCCCGACTTTTCTGGGGATGGCTAAACCTCCACCTGCTGAGGGGCCATAGTGAATGAATCCCTTGTTTTGCTTTGCTTGTGTGTGCAGCTTTTGCTTTACGTATTAAACTGTCTTTATCTCAACCTCCTCACATGTTTTTTCTCACATTTACCCTTCTGATCCTCTCCCCCATCCCACTGGGCAGGAGTGAGTGAGTAGCTGTGGGGGGCTGAGTTGCCAGCTGGAGTTAAAACTCAGCACTTGGAAATGAGAGAGAGTCCGTAACAGAGCATCCATGTTCTTGGTGGCCCCGGGGAGGACTGTACTCTATGTAGACCAGAGACAGCAACTTGCTGGTACATGCAGGTGCCTTTAGAAGAAGTTACACTGGTTTTCCTCTAGGAAATCTTTCGAGTTTGAGGACGTCCAGGGCTTCCGCAGCCGTATGGCAGCCACCAACTCCCATAGACTTCGAGAAGAGACAAATGGCACTACAGGATCCAGGCTTGTCTACACGCAATCAGAAGACAACATCTATGAGGACATTATCTGTATGTGCCTGTACTTCTCGGGGATTCACTCACTTTATTTAAGGGTAGCAAATTTGCTGGGGAGGGAGGAATGAAGATGAGAATGCACCAAGTCCCTTTCCAAATCTGTGATGTTTAAGGTCTTCCTCATCTGGGGTTCTGTGTTGATGTTAGTAACTATCTGAATATGAACAGCCCAATTTCGGATCTTGCGGAAGGTCACTAGACTTAGCCTGTGCTAAACCAATTTCTTTATTAGCTTTTCAAATGCTTTACTTGAGCGCTGCACAGTGATCGGTGTGAACACTGACAAAAATTATCTGCTCTAAAATAGAGCTACTTTCTTTGCAGTGATTGAAATGGTTTGTTTTGCTGAGTCTGCATACGGTTTGCCAAGTTGAAAGTAGTGGCTCAGAAAGATCTTTGAATGGTGGGAATCTAATCTGTCTGAAAGAGGTCTCTCTCAGACCTTGCTAAAGCTTGGCAGATGACTACAGACTCTCTCTGCTAATATCCGTTTCAAGAACACAGGACTTTATCTCCTTTTATAAATCCCCCGTCCAATGTTGTTTCCAGGTCCTGCAAAAGAGAACCCCTATGAAGGTGTCAGAGTGCTGCCCTTACCCCTGTGGAAGGTCCCATCTGTCTGGAAGCTACCACCCCCCTGGAGCACCAGTAGGGCGCCTCAGGTAGGGTGAGGGGATTAAATTGTCGTGTGTTCACAGAGAGTCGTTACCACAGGGGCCTTAGTTTGTGCTCCCCCTGATATCACATTCCCCGCTGCTATGCCATTTGCTTTCCTTATTTTTTATTAGTTTTTAATAATGTAAATGATAATGAGTGTTGACTCATGCTTGCATATGTGGGATAGGGGTGGGATGGAGAGCTTAGTAGAGCAGGAGGCTGCAGGAGCTTTCTCATCTGAATCCTTTGACTCAGCTTGCACTGCAGCTTAATCCTATGCTTAACCATCTCTTCTGATTCTATTTTCTAGCCTCCCCCAAAACCTCCCTTCCTCAGTCGCAAGACTCTTGAGTTAAAGCCCTCCCAGACATGTTTCCAAGGGAAAATGGTGAAGGACACAACCTTACCTGTCACAGTGACCGACTGGAAGCTGTTACGATCAGTAGAGACTGCTAACAAGAGAAAGAACGTTCCCTGGGTGAGATTTAAGCATGAAACCTTTCTTCTTGCATGGCATTTCAAACTCTTGGTGCTTTGTCTAGTACACTGTATGTGTGGACAAGTGACCCTGCTCAAACCATTTACCCTCCAAGTAGCAGGGCAGGTGTTTGGAGATCAAAAACCAGAGTGCCAATTTTAGCTGGGCTGGTGGTGTTCTTGTTGGCTGAGAATCTGTAAACTGAGTACTAGATGCTGACCTGGAAATCTGTGCTGTGTGTCAATATGAGCTTTTTCTCATGCTTTGTGCTTTAAGCCTTGTTCCCAGTGCTTCTGTGAAGTGTAATGATTCTGCTGATTGCAGTGCAG